GCCAGAGTGCTCTATTCATTAATGAAGAACGATGCTTTAGCGCTGACATATGCTGTTTATAGTACTCGCCCATCTCTCAACAGTGCTCAACCGAAAGATTTTCAAGAGCATTATATCATTCGCATACAGGCCTGTTTGCTGTATCACAGCTCATCAGTGCGACTAGACAATCGAAATGCTTCAAGCCAGGATCGAAGATATGAAGACAAATTCTTTTGATTTATGCATTCGTTGATTTCAGACAAAATGTTGCTTTCTAGTTTGAAACCAAAAATAATCTTTGGTTCAATATTGTTTGCACATAATGCATCAAATGAGAACAAATTTATTCACGTTCAGGTTAATAACATTTACGATGACAAAATCTTGTATTCAGCACCTGACCTCAACGCACAAACACTCTTAGCAAATTTACACACCATTTTAAAACTATATTTGACGTAATCTTTACCCCTTAAAAGCATCTTTTTTCTTTTTTTACAATGATGTTCACCCTGTACAAGGCTCATGAGGCACCACACCCAAGCAAGATGATAATGCCACCAAGACGCAATTAGCCACTGGAAGTGAAAGACAAGGAAAAGACCTTATAGGGAACCGGAAACCCAATCCTAAGGGATAAACTTTAACTTCTGTTCAAAAGACAGGGGAGGAGTGTAAATAGAGAATAGCTTACATTTAGGACGGGCGAATTCTTACATACGCTTTTTTTATTTATTTATTTATTTTTTTTTAACAAAAATACAGGCATGTCTTTCTATGGTCAGTGTTGTCTGAAGTGAAACTAACACTCTTAGGGGAGAGATCACACCCACTCCTATACGTGCCCCCTATTGGGTATTGGAGGGCTATCAATTAGAAACGAACATTGGATATTTTCTGCCAGTTAGTTTCCACGCGAAGAGGAATCTAGGTATTAATAATATACAATCTCCAAAACAATACGAATTCTCATATCAGAAATAAGTCGATCAACAAGAAGTTTGGCCAGATTCTATTAAATGTGGCTTCCACAGAAGGAAGGTTATAAAAATAATTTAGGTAATGCAATTTCGTGTAAAATATATATATATCAGGTCATCCCATAAGTTCTGTCCGAATTTTAACTTTTTGTTAAAATGAACGAAATTTAATGAGTATTTTATAATGTCTAATTGATCTGAACATTATTTTTATGTCTAGATGCATTTAAACTGATCAAATTTTATTTCAGAGAACAATAAAATTATATTTTGTTTGATTAAAACCCTGCTAACATGGAAGTACCCATTTGAGGCACATAATGCTTTATGAGTTCAAGAAAGGAAACTCAACAGCCGAAGCGGCTAGAAACATTCACTTAGTTTATGGAGAGGAATGTGTGAATGAAAGAACTTGCAGAAGATGGTTTGCAAAATTCAGAGGTGGAGATTTCACCCTTGAAGATGAAGATCGAACCGGACGTCCAGTTGAGTTTGATGAAAAGCTTCCTTGAAGCAGCCCTTGAAGAAAATCCTGCTTTATCAGTTGAGGAATTGGCAGTGGTTCTCAGTTCAAACCATACAACTGTTCATCGTCGTTTTCAACAACTTGGAAAAGTTCCTAAACTTGGAAAATGGGTGCCTCATGAATTGTCTGAAAACAACCTCAAATACCGAGTTGACATCTGCTCTTCTCTCCATTCTCGCCAACTTGTTTCACCTTTTTTGGATAGATTTGCGACGAAAACTGGATCTTTTATCGAAATGTTAAGCGTCGTAGACCGTGGTTTGGTAAAGGGGAAGGACCCCAGCCCCAGCCGAGAAGGGAACTTCATGGACAAAAGGTTCTTCTTTCAATCTGGTGGGACCACCAAGGAATAATCCACTTTGAATTCTTACCACCTAATGCAACAATTAATGCTCAAATATACTGTCAGCAATTAGAGCGTTTGAACCAAGCTTTGAGGTAAAAAAGACGCTCTACTGAATCGAAAAGGGGTGATGTTTCATCAGGACAATGCGCGACCCCACACAGCAAGAATCACGTCACAAAAGATCGAAGAACTTGGTTGGGAGAAAATTCATCATCCACCTTATTTTCCCGATCTTGCTCCTTCAGACTACCATTTGATTCGTAGCTTATAGAATCATTTGGAAGAAACAGCTTTTGTAACACAGGAAGAGGTTAAAACTGACATTTGTGAGTTCTTCGAATCAAAGCCAAAAGAATTTTACAGTAATGGAATTAGTAATAATAGATGGAAGGAAGTCATAGATAATCAGGGAAAATACATTGTTGATTGAATCTGTAATTAAATGTAACATTTAGTCACTTGTTTTCTTGATTCAAAATTCGGACAGAACTTATGGGATGACCTGATATATATATATATATATATATATATATATATTGTTTATAATCTTGATAACTGGATAGATCCTTAGAAAATTAATTGTGACAAAACAGTTGTCAGATGTTAGAAAAATTTAAAAATTGGTCAGATACCTTGTCAGTATTGTTTAATAAAACCTGTTAGAATTATTGATGCTTATATATATATATATATATATATATATATATATATATATATCTTTAGAAATTTCCGTTTACGTTTCGGATACAAATCTAAGATATGGCTTTCGAAAAAAAACCCCCAAAAAACTGAAAGTGAATGTGCTTTAAGGAAATTAGAACCTTGTGTGAGTGTGTAGGTCTCCGTAGCCAAGCGGCCAAAAAAGGTGGTTTATCCTTCAAAAGTGTACGCTGATTCGAATACTGAAGGGTACATTTTCTTAAGATTTCTCGAGAGCGCAAGGCGAAATAAATACTTCTTGTAATAAACGGACTGTTTACGCAAATACGGATATCCACTAAAATAATGTTTTAATAATTATATATATATAATTATTAAAACATGTTTTGATAATTTTCTATCTATCTATCTATCTATCTATATATATATATATATATATATATATATATATATATATGTTTTATCAAAATCGAGAAAAAACATGTACTTTGTACAACTTAACAATTTTGATTGAAATGTGCAAAACATTATTAGAAAAAGGCAAAAAATTAAACATACAGTCCTTATCGATTGAATTTAATACATCTTATTTAAATGAATGCTACCTATATATGTAAATCAGTATAGCTTTGGGTTACTTTATGTTAACCTTACAATACGTCGGATTTCTGTTCTTTCATTCACATGTCTATATCTCTATAATATATATATAATATGTGTGTGTATGTGTACTTGCATATGTGCTTCTATTTGATTTTTTTTTTCTACTTTTTCATAATAATTATTCTCCCAAAGCATACAGCGTAAATGTTCCATTGTCCTAATATGTATGCGGTAACGAATAGAACTAGCGCTGTTTTTGATTTGGATCTCTATTTTCGACAAATGAGGAACGAGAGACCGATCCTTCAATAAAGGTAGAAAATCGTTGGCGTATCCTGAGGTAGAAGTCCATGTGACATCAGTCGATATACACAAGAGCTTTGTTCCCCAGACATCTTAGCACTCTATTATCGCTTCTTTTTAATGATCGATCACAGGCACAACGAGATACTCGAAAACAGAAACGGAGCTTAATGATTCTCTGGCTTCAAGATCTCGATGAATTCCAAAGAAAAGGGATCAATGTACTTCTCAGATCACCCATAATAGACAGGAAATCTGAATTGACATCAATGGCTAACGACATAGAAAATGGAAACTACCGAACTAATTTCAATTTCACATCACGACTATTTTAATTCCTTTTTCACGAATGACCTTCAGAAAATCATGAATCTAAAGTCACTTGAGGAACTAAGTTATCTTGACTACAGCCATATTACTAGTATGCCACAGTGATAGAAAAACAGTGGCTGAGGTATAGAAATTATTTATCTTGACTACCTGTCCATGAAAAATCGATCGGAATATACCTGCTTTATCTGTTTTCAGTAATGACAGACGGATTCCAGTGATCTTTTATTTTCAAGATTTTTTATTTATTGTTTAATTTATAGTTTTCCAGATAAATTTAGAAGCCATTTTGTAATCGGATGCGCAGTATACGAGAGTGGATCAATAAGTCCGTAGTTTGACAGTGATAAACTGAATTTTGGTTCAGTTATGTTGGTTGATTTTCTGAAATGCCAATAAGCGTTGGTATATGTAATGTCTAACTTTGTATGGGTCATCTAATCAGGATCGAACTGACTACTCCGTAGTAATGGTCAACTAGTTAGCATCGCTAACACTTACCCTACGAGGCACCGAGCTGCAGTTTAATTCTGAAATGTTCACTTTATAATCATCTATATGGTTAATAATGGCCGGCTCTTCGTTTCCTGAGCCAACCATCTACTAGGGAGACACCAATCCCTGTTGCAGATGCCTACTCAGACATAAGTGTGTTTGTTCAACATCTAGAGAGCCCACCTGTGGCTCATACTGCAAATGTGCCGAGTGGACCATAGTTACACACACACACACACACACACACACACACACACACACACACACACAGAGAGAGAGAGAATATAATCTGGAATGATTAACAGTTTGAAGAACGCCAGTACAATCAAACCCTCGGTTACGATGACTTGTGACTTCGTGCACGTATAATCGTCGACGGCTTCCAAATCGTCCTGTATGTACAATTTCACTTATGAAGCTTGGGTCAACCCTTGATATCACTTTTCGCTCGTTAGGATCTTCTCCCCAGATCGATAAGATTAACAAATCACCATCTTGATAAATCGACCATAGTGATCCTTTGATTGATTCGCATTCTAAGGATTATCACTTCTTTGCAGGTTATTTAAAGACAGAAAATGTATTTTTTTTTTGAGATAATGATTTAGTGATGCAAGTTTTACTAATTAATCCATAGCTGAGAGAGAAGAGGTGAATTCATACGTTTTCCAAGGATTTTTGCGTGTAAGTGAATATAACGAACTCAACTGGAATTGGAACTCGGCTCTCCGATTAACAATTTCGAACCTTATACATTACATCACACGTACATCCAAACATCACCGAGTATTCTCAAGCGGTCACCCATCTAGGTATTGACCAGGCTCGACGTTGTTTAACTTCAGTGGTCGTACGTGAACTGGCGTTTCAATGTGATCTGCCCGTATGTCCGACAGTGGTGAGATTTGCACTTGAGTCTTATCGGCAGAACGCGAACGTTCCGTGGCCATATATGTGTGTGTATTTTTATTTTATTTAACGCCTTGTTTAAGTTTATGATTGGAGCACAGCAAAAGAATCAACGCCTCGCTTTCCACTATTAATAACATTATAACAAACTCTGGCAAGGAAACCGACTTAAAAGAAGTGTCCTTTTAAATTCACGAGAAAGAAAGCGCAAATAGAAACCGACATCTTATCACAGCCAAATTGTCAAGGTGTGATTGTTTCTTGCAGCTTTTCCCACTGATTGCAGAACTCTTCGCTGCTTACCAGCTAATTACTTCTGTCAGAAGCATTAGACATTTCTCTTTTTCACCTGTCCACGAAGAAAGACATTTCATAGGTGAAGAAGTTGGCGAATCTTCTCGGCTGCCCGATTTGATTTGTTCTTTGACAGTCCGGAGACGCATATTGTGACTCATCCCCAGGAGTGGTTAAAATCTGCATTTGAGGGCTGGACCATTCGTGTAGATTGCTGCACACACAGCCTCTATCTTAAAAAAAAAAGAAAATGTACTGAAATTGTCAACGGGTTAACGGAAGTGTTTTAACTTGTGATCAGATACTAAAGTGTGAGAAAAATCAACCGACTAATAGAATAAACGGGGGTTGATTTCGTTTTTATCATTTCGTTTTTGTTTTCTCCAATCACAACTCCTCAATCTCGATACTGCTTAAGAGAAAGGCGGGAAGACGGAATTAATTTTTCAAGTGCACATATTGACACCTAGGATCTGGTGCTGCAGCTATCAATCAAACATTGGTATTAATCGAATTAGGGCGCGCAAACAGAAATGGGCGTGTTTATGATTTTCAAATAAAATGATTCAAGCAATGACTGAAGATATCTTTGCCGACACTGCACAAATTGTTTAGGTGATAAAGTACATGCAGGTGTATATAATTAACTATAGCATAACAACTAGAAATGCATTTATTCTTCTGTCCCAGGTATTTCAGGACCTGAAAGATCATAGTCCTCCACAGCATTCCTCGGCACTACAGTCACGGGACATGGTAAATGCAGGAAATTATCGGAATTTCCAAGCTACGTGGGTACTGAAATTGGGAGGTCCCATGTGTATTAAAATTAAAACTGCCTTCGAGGAATCACATGGTCGGAATTGACCAGTCGGGATAAATTATGGCTTGGGGTGGGGACAAATTGACCGAAACTTTGATTTATTCAGGTGCGCAGATATCGACAGTCATTTGGAGAGATTTTTTTCTAAGCCAGTTGGAGATAATTTCCTTTTTTGTTACCTTTCACCATTTCACTTTTTCTGTTTTGTCATCCATTATTACAAAATCGTTATGTAGGTTATTCGCTGTTATTCTCTTTTCCAAGCCTATTTTCCACATTATTTATTCTGGAACTTTTAGTTGTTTTTTTCTGATTGTAAGCAGAAGTTTCTTTTTAGTCCCTATTTTCTTTCAGGCTTCCTCGTCGCCCATATGTTCTGGTAATCTTAGCATTCGCTAGAAGAACCACATCTCTATAGCTTCAAGTTTCTTTATCTGTTAAAAGATTGCGTGGCATTCAATACCATGCAGATGTTCCCCAGGGAATTATCCTTGGACCTATTTTGTTTCTAATTTTTATCATAGATATTCCGTAATTGTTATCAACTCTGTGTATCTGCTGATGATACAACTATTTACTCCTGTCTTAATAATAAGTCTGATCAGTTTGATAATCTCAAATTGGCAGCTGAGCTCAAAACCGACTTACATTCCGTTGTTAACTGGGGCAATAAATGGTTTGTTGATTTTTACGCTTCCAAAACAAAACTGCTCTCTTAATTCTCTGGGATAATCATTTTTTTTTTTTTTTTTTTTTTTACTTTCCATCAGCAATGCTGGTGCTAACCTCCACGGAGTGATTCATTGCGACTTCTCAGACTTACGTTTTCCACTGACATGAAATGGAAAGATTATATTGAATCAGTTGTTAGGTCTGCTGCTAGGAAAGTTGGTTCGTACTAGATAGAGTAAAATTATCTTACGCATTTATAAGTCTACCATTCGTCCGTACATTGAATATTGCTGTGACATCTGGTTTGGTGCTTCTATTATGTATTTAGAGATTGTTGATAAAATACAAATAATTGTAATATTATTGGTCATGACCTGGCATCTCGGCTTAACTCACCTTTACACCACTGTAACGTAACTTCACTGTGACTTTTCTATAAATATTTCCATGGTAATTGTTCGGATTTACATTCCTCTTCGGTACCTAGACCATATCAATTTAAGCGCATTATTAGATTGGCGGCAAAGTCTCATAACCTTACGGTTGAAACGGCGAGCTGCAACCGTAAGTTCTATTCCAATAATTTCAACTCTCGCACTTCTCACTTGTGGAACTCTCTTCCAGTTTCTTGCTTTCCAGTAAAGTTTGATATTCAAAAATACAAATGCAATATGAACCATTATCTTCTTTTTATTTGATTCTTATTCTTTTATTGTTCTCCCTCCTTAATGTTTTCTTTTTTTCATATTCTTGCTCATTCAGTAATCCCTTGCGTCTTGGGGTGAAATGATTAAAAATATAGATATTATAGAGCAGCTTGGCCCACTTTTATTTGCGTTTCTACTGAGATTTTCTAATCTCTTAATATTTTGCTTAATTTTTTTTATTGGAAAGGCATCTATCGGTATTCTTATACGCTTTTTAATGCCAGTTGTCGCATTCTGATTGTAAGTATTAGTTTCTATCTTCTTACAGTTCATAATCATTTCTTTCCGCTTTTCTTTGCTATATTCTCCTGAAGTTTTTACATTTTCCGGCCATTCATAGCATTATATTCAGAGAAGAATCCAAGTTCTTAATTATTTGCAAACGTTATTGCTTTTATTTTTGGTAGGCAAGAAGTACATTGTCTTGCTAGTGGCTTCATTTCTATTGAACTGGTCTGAAGGACAAGAAACGTCAAGGAATTGCAATTCGAAAATCATCAGATATCGTGATAGACAATATCTTACCATAGTTAGAAAGACTGATCACTGTATATATAGTTTTGCATGGCTTGTATCTTCCTACGCAACAAGTAAAAAAAGTGCTATATCGAAAAGATAACTTTTACAGGGAATTAAGTAAACTTTGTGTTATAGAAACCAATAGAAAGCTTTGAATTAATAGGGATTTTAATGCTACTTCATGTGTTTATTTTATTTTTTGAACGCCTCTATTCCTTTGATGGAAAGAAGACGTCACCCTTTGAAACTGAAACATCAAACAGTAATGGCAAACTATTAAACTTTTGTTATTCCAAAATATTTTCAACCCGCAATACATGGTTTGATCAACCTACGAAGTTACACATAACTTAGCATAGCCTCTATGAAATAACCAAAATGTTTATTGATTTCAGCATCTCAGATTCCATACAATTTGTGATTGATGTTCGAGTATATAATTCATACCTTAACTCAGATCAAAGACTTCTGGTAACCAAACAAAAATCCTAGCAAACAAGATGACTCGCTTCTGTATACGTAATTAAAAAAAGTTCCTAAATATAACACAAACTGTTGAAAATGACGATGTAAAGAGAGCATTTTGTGATAAACTAGAATTCGACTTGACGTCCCTAAATTTTAACACAGGCAACGTCAACGAATGTAATCGTATCATCTTTTAGTCAATGTATGTGAAACCATTTCTAAGCTAATAAAACAGAAAAAAATCTTTCCATGAGCTGATAATACTGAATTAAAAAGACTGAAAGCAGCAAGATAGAAATATAAGTCAAAATATAAGGAAAAATTCTAAACGACTAGCAAAGAAAAAAAAAAGTTAATACTCTGAGAGACATACGTCCAGTTCGTATCCTACCAGTTCGCACTGGTTCACGTGAACCGATTTTTAAAATTATAAAATCTTAGTGAACCCGTTGTAGGATTATCCGAAAATAATTTTATGTATTAATAGCCGATGGTCTAGGTAAAATGTTTGTTACGCTACGCTTGAGCGTGTCTAGTAAAACTTTAATAGACACACGCTCCCTACTGTTTTGAAGTTAAAAATGTGGGAAATCTTCTAGCCATAAATTTGATAGGTCTTCAATTGGATCTTTGGGATTGCAGTGATTCTGTTTTATATTGACTAAGAAACCGTAAAAATATCTGATAACACTAGAGTAAAAAAATCGTATTATACTTCTGAACAGAAATATAAGACAGAATTTCTTTCTGGAAATAACTTAATAAATGTTCCCTATTAAATTATCAAAATGGTTTAATTCTTTTCGATACTTTAAAGTGATTTGTTTCCATTCTCAGACGAAAAAGAAAATAAGCAGTATATGTTCCTAAAGATTACCTGCCTTTATAGTTCCTGGAAATTTAGGATGTCACCATTGCATTCATCTTTTGCAAATTTTTGGATACCAAATAAGTCAAGCCAAAGTGTATAGATTATTTATCGAAAAGTTAAAAAATACCACCAAAAACTATGATAATATACAATCAAAGAACAAACAGAAGAAATGTACCGGTCTCAAAAACACTTTGATCATGTCGACACAAATCTGAAGATGTCAGAGAAAAAGGAATGTGTACCAGGATATACATAAAGTCTATCCTAAAACTTAAATAACAGTCGGCCTAGTGACTTTTCTTTCTTTGTCTTCTCTCTTTTTTCCTACTATTTATTATTCTGTCTGTTTTGTGGTCGTTTTTTTTTTCGTTAATCACTGAACTATGTTGATAAAATCTTCTCATTTAATTTAGATGTAAATCATTTAGCATCGCTTTTATAAAAACAACGCTCAAGACAAATGCTTTATTATTTTGTTACTAGTGTTTCTTTATCTTGTTTGCTCTGTCGGTGGGGGGGGCTATAATGCGTTAAATTCACCCCTTGCAGAGGAGTAAGACCACCTGCCAAAATGTACTACTTCCACTTAGATGCTTGCAGACACATATAAA